TCCCAATCATGTGCGAGGCTAAAACTTAGGTTACTTATCCTTTATTAAATATAGTTTTCTCATATTCTTTTCATATATGTTTTGTTTAACACATGTTGGGTGTTTCAAGTTTCGATCTGTGTTCCAGCATACTTGCTGACTCTCTTCTTATGTAAAGTAAAAGAAAAATACAAAAAAAAAAAAAGCACAAAAAAATATTGTGTTAACCACTTTCTTTCGTGATAAAAAAACTGAAAAAAAAAAAAAAGAAAAATCAAATAATTCACACCTTAAGTTAAGTTAAGAGCGCAGTTGACAATAAATATTGCATCGTGATATGTATACGTGTGTAATTTACATTTACAAGTCATAAATCATTTTGGGTATCTCATCGTACATCCGCAGACAAAATGCTTTCTTTTGCTTAAATACTTTCTCATAGTTTAAAAATAAAAAATAAAAAAAAAATAAAAAAAAAAAAACAAGAAGGAAAAAGAAAGAACTTGCATTGATTTAAAGGAATTTATCATAAATTCTATTTATTGACCGGATAAAGGGGACATTTTTCATAAAGTTTAACAGGAAGTTCCTGTCCTCTTGGAAATTATGTAAAACTCATTTATATTGGATTGGTCGAAAAGCATTTTCCCTTTCCATCTTTCTCTCTCTCTCTCTCTCTCTCCCTCTCTCTCTCTCTCGCTCTCTCGCTTGTCCGTTTCTATTGATTTGTGTGAGGAAAGTGAAGCAAGGTCGAGAGTTCTCCAAATTCCTTTCTTGCTAAGATAGATTTTTTAATTTAATTAATTTTCATTACTTAACAATCAAGAAATTCTTATGCGATTTCATTAACTTAACTTAAGAGGTTTAAGTTTTTGCTTGACGTTTATTTATTTCTATTTTTTATTTTTTATTTTATTATTTTATTTTTATTATTATTAATTTTTTTTTTTTTTTTTGTTGCAAATATTTTTGTTTTTATAGCTCGCTTGACGCCTTTGTTTTCAAGGAACCAGACAAACTATTGATAATATTTTGCAGTTTTACAAAAAATTAATTACTAAAATGTATTATGTTAGTGCTGCGGTGCTGTTAAAATTTTCTTTTTTTTCGTTTTTTGTTTTTTGTTTTTCGTTTTTCCTTTTTTTTTTTGTTTTTTGTTTTTTTGCCTTAACTGTAATATTAAAATAAATTGCATTTGCGATAATTAACTGAACTTGACACATTTTTTACTCGTAATACCATCATTTCCATACAAATGGAATTTAGTTTATTTCTGTTTTCGGGGATAAAGTGCTTATGGAATGCTTGAAATTCAAACAATTAACTGTTAATGATGACAAATTACTTTTTAAGTGAAAAATGTGATTTAGCGGATTGAAAAACTTGGAATTCCATTATTGTTAATATTATGGCGAACTCGAGTAATGAAACGATTGAAGACTGTTTTAATTAATGCATACATAAACCTATTTAACGTTTGAAGTGATGATAAACAATACCCGCACACAATTTTCACACATCATACCACTTGTGCATATATGTGTATATATATATGTGTGTGTGTGTGTGTATGTACGGCTTATTAAGTTTGTGCTAGCGCGTGCACCACTAAACAAGGTCTTGAGCAATATCAATTAACTGTGGCCTATACCTAGAGAGCTGTATAAGTAACATTTCCTAGGCCTTGTTAGAGAACAAAACTACTATTTCCCATATATCGAGAGGAGTGAAATTAATTTTTATACAGCCTTAGCGAACTGTAAAACTAATGTTTCTTAAACATAGGAAGCAGCAAAACTGAAACTTTCCTACTAAACCTAGAGAGGAGTAAAACTAATTTTTATATAGCCTTACCGAGTAGCAAAGCTGATTTTTCACAGATCTGAGGAATCGATTTCAACTAATCAATCCGTCTGTCTCACATATGTCTACTTAGTTTCATTTTCATCGCAAAGATTGCAATTTTCGTGATATTTTGATGAAATTTTGAATCGTTTAGCCCAAGAATGATCTCTGTTGAAACCAGATAGGATCGGACCATTTATTGAATTATTTCTTGTATGATATCGTCTTATAGAAAAGTGAAAAAATTGAAAAATAATATTTTTGGGCATACTAACGAAATACCAGAAAAATTTGGACAGAAGGCGACCATGTTTTGAACCTCCTAAAATTTTAGTTCATATTGAAAGTTCTCCGCGGTTCTTCGTATGAATGAAGATGTGCTTAAAAGGTGACATATCATCTTACATTTTCTGTGAAAATAGGTTTCTAAATCGTGGCTCGTGTAAAAAGTTAGATTGATTTGAAAATGATCAGGAATATCTGAAGAAATACCCGATGTGATGCTTTCTTACTATGAAAAAGGTAAAAACGCTGCAAATAAAAAGGAGTGTAAGGAATAGTTTCCTCGATTCCTAGTCACTGAAAAAGTCGATGAAATTTGGCAAGTGCCGGAGTAAGACCGGCAACGCAAGCTGTCAAGAAATAGCGAAGGCACTAAACCTTATCTCATATGACAGTTTGGATTCATTTGAAAAGAGCAAGTTACAAAAAGAAGCTCGACCTAATATAATTAAATATACTTTTGTATGGCAAAAGTATCTAATTTTTAGCATTTCATGATAAAATATCGTTCAGAATAATTTGACATAAAAAATTTACTAAATAAAATTTGGACAACATTGACTTACTTTTTGGATTCCTCTTGGCACAAGTAATCACATGGCAAGTCCGAAAATATGGTTTCATCTTGATGAATTGAATAATAAGTGGGATATTTAATCGAGGCTTTACCCAAGCATAGCATTTTGACTTTAAAAAGTTCCGTTAAAAATAAAGACATTGCTGGAAGAACCCTAGAAATAGGCTGACAATATCTCTGTACTTAATGCTGAAGTTGCTTAAATTTTCGAGCATAGCATCCTATCATTGAAAATTAATTTCTTCTTCGCTTCAAATTCGCTTTAAAGGCTTTCTGTGTTATTTATATGGCAAGGTTTATATATATTCTTGATTAGCCTTTAATTCTAATCGAGTTTTTAATAAAGAACTGGACGCCAGTGCTTTAAGACTTTAGCTTTAGAATTATTTTCTCTGGTGAAATTAATAGTGATAAAAATAATAAATCGATTTAGTCATGTCCGTCTGTCCGTCTGTCCGTCTGTGTAATATATGTTTTAAACATTCTCGCGGCCGCAGAAATGAGTCTTCAAATTTGCCAGAAACATTAAAACTTCTTGCACACAGGTTGGTCTTGAAAATGGGCCAAATCGGTTGGTGGACACGCCTGCAGTATCGCCAGCAAATTGAGAGCACCTTTGTTTTTCAAACGAAATAAAAGATTAGTTTTTTGCTCATTACTCATACACTATAGCAGATAAATCTACAAATATTTGAACGTATATTACTGTAGTATCTACAAAAAAATGAAAAAAATCGGCCACGTCTCCTCAGATAATTTTATTATTTTTTTTTTTTCAAAATCTTTGCAACCCACAGAAACAAGCTTCAAAAACCCCAAAAAATATGTGTAAATTCGTGGCCAGAGTGAAATTTGGAATGCACTTAAGCAAAGCAAAGTGCTAAGTCGTTAATTTTACACTAAGTATGGTGGCCTCTGGGATTTGGCGAATTAGAGACTTTTCTTGCACAACAAGGAACTTGTAAAACATGTTTTCGAAACTACAAACTTCAACTTATTACGGTTGACGAACGAATCGTAGCAACTATCGACCGATAGATACATATATTAAAAAGAGGGAAAACATCTTAGTCGGACTAGACCTACACCACATGGTCGAACACAATTCTTATGTTTTCCATAGAACACAAAAATTGTACTCTGTTCGTATATGAACTTACTTTTATGGAACTATATATGAAAAGTTAGATCCTTTTGTAAATAAAGGCTCCGTAAGAATGATTATGCCCAAAAGGTTCAAAAATTGAAGTACATGTTCAGAATTCTGCGCAGTTAATTTTTATATGAAATTCCTACTGTTGGTCAATATTAACGTAATAAAACTTCCACTTTTCTGCTCTAAAAAACAAAAACTTTCGAAAAAATCCTTATATAGGGCAACATACAAAAATAGGCGTACGTGGTCCAAATTTTGTAGAGTTCATTTTTATATAAAATTGCTTTTATGAGTTACGTTTCATCATAACATTTTAAAATATAAATTTTTTTTCACTATGAAGGATCTAAAAAATAGGTCGAGATGGTCCCGGTTTGGTACAGTTTATTTTTCGGATCTTAAATTACTATTATGATCTGATTTTCTTCATAAAATTTAAAAATTGTATCTTTGGTCGCATGAATTTTAGTTTAGAGGGGCTTCATAAAGTTGCCCGAGCCAGTCCAAAGGTTTCACACAAATTCAGTATGTCGAAATATTATTCCTTAGCCACTTTTGTCAAGGCATTTTGAAAATTGCAATTTTTCTGCTTATGACGACATTTTCAAATAGGGTATTATATTAGGGAGTGGTTGAAAAGGGTGACCGATCCAAAGTGTTTTTAATAGCGTTCGTTGTTAGGTCAAAACACGTCAGTGTACCAAATATCATCGAAATATTTCAACAATTGCAACCTGTAACTTGAACACAAATTTACATGGGCCGACATTAGAGGGACGGACAGACAGACAGGCTTTTCAGGATCGTCTTCTGAATCGATTGATGTAATAAAAAAGCAAGTCTATCTTAAGCTGTTCTGCGTGTTACATAAATCCGCAAAAACTCAACTTACCACAACTAATCCGTCTAGGATATAAATGTATGTATGTGTGTACGTGGGATCTCGGTGCGATCTCGGTTAAATAACGGGAAAATATGATTTTTTTATTATAAATTTTATTAGGCTGAGAGAGAGAGAGAGAGGAGGATGCGAGCGAGATATGGCTTTATTTGTTTTTCAGTTATATAGATTTTTGTAAAACTTCTCACAGTGTAGGCTACTTTTTCTTTTTGCGAAATATTTCCACTTTAAACCAGAGTTGCATTTACATTTTAACTTACCTCTTAATCGCTGATGCTTTGCCATAAGGCAATTTTGTAAGTTTGTTATGTGATTTTACCTTCATTATGATCATGATTATGATCATTATCATTATTAGGTATTTGTTTAGCTTGTTTAGTGCTTTACATTTATTTGCTTTTTGTTTTGATTTTGAATTTTCGTTTTATGCTTCTTAACAACGAAAACGGTGAAGCGCTCTCATGTGTCTTTTCCCACACAAACAATATTGCTTAGTCAACGTAATATAACAACAATACGATGCGTTTATGTGTACTTTTTAAATAAACCGGTTTCTTTTAAACAGTTTTCGTTGTACTTTAAATACATACTAAAGCATAGTGTGATTTTTTTCCTTTTCCTTTTTTTTTTTTTTTTTTTTTTTAGCGCTTTCTTAGCGTTATTGCCTTAATTTAGTTAAGATGGTATGATAAGAAGAATTCTCTTTGAGATAATATAACATCAAAATCACTTCGATCGATTAACTCTTCCGAAGCGAATGCTTCTACAAAAAAATGATAAAACACTTTACATTTAATTTAAATAGTGTACAAAAAAAAAAAAAAAAAAAAAAAAAAAATGGCAAAAAGTTTAAAAGTAAGTTTTCTTCAATGCTTCCATGCACAACACTTTCCATTAAGCGTTTATAATGCAAACTTGTAGAATGCTTACAGCCAACTGAAGCTTCGATCTAACCAAAATATAAAAAAGACTGGTTTAATAAAGATCAAAGAGTATGCTAAGAGGAAAAAAAAAAAAAAAGAAAAAAAAAGAGAGCAACCAATGTTAGTAAATTTTTTTTTCTTTTTTTTCTTTTCCTTTGCATATAATTGGTTATTGGTATAGGGAATACGATATATACGATAAGGCAATGGAGGTATAAGAGTTTGTTTGATATTCGATATTTTGAAGTAAAAGGTCATCATTTGTGATTTCTCGGTTTCATTTAGGCTTTTAATTATATTTTCTTTTGATATATTTGACAACTTTGTCGATGTCAACTTTTGACATCGATTTTACCTTAAACATTATTTGAATTAACATTGAATCGCTTCATTAAGGCCGGGCTTCAGATTTAGCTTTAGTTATAGAATTTAATTTTTTTTTAATTAGAACTTTTAAAGGTTTAACAATTAATTCGAATTTAACTAACCAAAGGTATTCATTGACTAATGAAATGCTATTAACCTAATAACAGAGAAACTGCTCAGCTGCCAAGCAATCTTTACGAATGGATGAAATTTGTTTCGGGAATCGTATGCAATATTGGGGCCACATATATATAGATAACGAAAATCTTTATTTAGTTTGATTTTTTCCAGTATTAAGCAGTCTTAACTCATTGATAATATCCCACATAGGAGACTATTTAAGGTTTTTGGTATAAGAGATTTAATTGTGGTCGTCCTTCGTTCACCGTCTCGTGAAATAAGTCCTTTCCACATTGGCGAGCGAATGGTTTCGCACTGCGTTAGTCCCATTATATTTGCAGGGTGTGAATCCTTCGCATTTAGCTTATAATGATCTAAAAGTCTGGTTTGTGAGGAACTCTTACTCCCATTCGTACGTAGACTTAAGTTAGAGAGTTTGCTTTTCAATCCCTTCACCTTACACTTCAAACTTGCTTTTCACGGGTTTTTTTAACTACGGGTTTTTCATTAATAGTGTTCAACATAAGTGCCATCTTTCATGTATATCCATAATCTAGTCGTGTGCAGGATATTTGCGAAAATGAACAAAAACCTATTAATATATGGATAAAATGGGTTTAAAATCGGAGTTTTATATAATGTGGCGGTCCTTCATTTTCGTACATCCAAGTCTTTTTTGCACGGTCTTTTTTACACGATCTTAAAATGACGCGGTTCACCGATGAAACTAAGTACGAATCCTTTGTCCTAACACGGACCCGAAAAAAAACATTTGTTTTGATAGTGTCTCATAGAAACTTAAAAGAAGACAACACTGAAATGCAATTAAGGGAATACTGTGGTCAGAAGTGAGTCGGTTAATGCCGTATGTGTGCCGTATGTGTTAGTGACATGTGCTAGGTAGACTTGGGAGTTGTGTTTTATCCCTAATTGCATGTTGTACTTGGGGACTGAATTTTTACTGTACACAAATTTAAATTTTTCATTCTCTATGTATTGTAAGGATTTCATTATTACTTGTTTTACACGATTTTAGCAGAAAATATTTGGAGTTTTTCCATCTTATATATAACATATTTCAAAATTTACCGTAAGTCGCATGTATTTGTTTAAACTAGTTTTGTTTTTTTTGCACGAGTTTCCGAGAAACGTATTTACCGTATAAAAAAAAACAGTTAGGTGTACTTATGTAAAATGGAGTTCAAAATGTATAGGGAATTTCGAAATAAAACAAAATATTATTCATTTATCTAAATGCACTCTATTGCCTTGAACTCAATTGCCTCCTCATTTGAATGCACTTATGAAAAGTTGTTTCCGAGACAATTTTAGCAGTCGATATCATCTGATATATACGAGCTGTTAGCCAACTTTTCTTAAACTGACTCCTTCGAAGTGGCTTTTGTAAGTAAACATGGTAGTTGCGAATAGGTTTCAGTTTGATTTTTGTAGAAAAAATGACGAGTAATTATGACGGTAAGGGAAGAGGCGTCATCACAAATATTGAGTGAAAGGAGATCCTTAGCGTTTGTTTTCTTTCTGACCGGTCAATTGTTTCTCTTGTCGTCTTTGAAGCCTTATTACCACTTGCGATATTTTAGTTGTCCTACCGTCTCACAAACATATAACATTTTCCATTCTTTTTGTACCCGTTACCGAGGGAAGAGTGGTATCGTCTTTTGTAAAAATGTTTGCAACGCCCAGAAGGAAGCATCAGAGACCCCAAAAAGCATAAAATTTATTCTTGATCATCAGCATCAAATTCTAAATCAATTTTGGCATGTTCATCTCTCCGTCTGTGTAATGTCTGTTGCAAATATTCTCGTGGCCGCAGGATGTCCACAATATCACGTAAACTGAGAACATCTCTGTTTTTCAAAGGGAATAAAAAAATTGGTTTTTTGCTTATTACTCGTAAACTATAGCAAATAAATGTAAAAAAATTTGAACGCATATTTTGTGAATGACGTCCATACGCCTAAATGTCTCTACGACAAAGACACATAGAAGAAATCAACTGCGCCTACTCCATATTATAGAACATGAAGATTTTATTCTTTTGCTTCTTTTGTCGGTTTTAGGATAATTGTGATGGGTATAAAAGATTCGGTTCGAACGAATTTTATTTTCTTACATGTTCATATTTGTCTTTTAGACAGAACTTAATACAAATTTCTTGTTTAAAATATTTATTCATTTTACAAATTCGACGAAAAAAAATTAATAAACCGTATGAGATGAATGAAATTTTTGTCAAATGTTAATAACAGTTACCTAAATCTAACGAAAAAAAAGGTAATATTGTTTTTGGAAATATATTTATTTTTAACTTAACATTTTCTTTTATATTTGAACCCTAGTGAATAGCAAGCCAAAAAACACGTTTTTTACTTTTGTCGATAGGTGTAACGAGAAAGTCTCTCATGCTATACCTTCTCATTTCTTTCAAAATGCAATAATTTTTATTGTATATACATGCTTCATAATGAAATTTATATCATAATAGTAAATCGCATTAGTCACATTAAAAGTCTCTCATGCTTTAATTTCTCATTTTTTTCATAATGCAATAACTTACTACTAACACTACATGCATAAATTATGATTGACTTTATATCTGTCAAGATTCTTAGTGGTTTTCTTACTGGGTTTCTTTTAACGGTAATCTTGCTATTCTGTATGAGTAAGATTAAAGGATCTGAATAGTTATTTTTCTGGCTTTTTTCATTGTAAGCAATGGGGACCGAAAGCATCCGATCATTTTCTTTGTTTTTCTCTTTACCTCTTAAGGAGATGTTGCGTGTTAAACGTTTATTAGTTCTTTATCTATAATTAATGTAAATAGTTTGACATTAATTATCTAATGTACATTTATTTAAATTAGAGCCGATAGCCTGTGTTGTTAGTGTTCAAAGTCTTTTTTTTTTAGTCTAAGAATTTATTTCATTAGTCTAAAATTGTAATAATAATAATAATAATAATAACAGTTTTACATTAGATATATCGTTTTGGAAAAATAATCTTATTAGAAAAATTTTACTAGCCCGGTTTATCGCTGCCGCTCAAGATTGAGCTTATGAGAAGAAAACGGTATCATCGCTTTGTCAGTTCGTATCACCCGAACGCTTGCGTATCGAAACGAGTTTTCTATTTGTTGCGTTCTACTGGTGGTCGTTAAATGATGTTAAAAGTCTCTCATGCTATACTTTCTCATTTCTCTCAGAATTCATTAATTTTTATTGCACATATATGCTTCATAATGAAAATTATATCATAATAGTAAAGTAACTTAAAAATATAACTGTACCAAATTTAGATCATTTCAGCCTATTTTTTGGATCCTACCCTAATAAGTATTTTCCCGAAAATTGATCCATCATAGTAATTTCATTCAAAAATGAACACTACGAAATTTGGACCATCTACGCCAATTTTTGGATTTTGCTTTAAGTAAGGATCAAACTTGCATTACATTATGTTTCGCACTGACTCCGTTTCCTTATATATTCGCACTTGAAAAATAGCCCTTTATATAGAAAGAAGATATAATTTTGGTTTTCTATAATAAAAATAAGAATTGTGTTAAGCAATGTGGTGTAGAGCCTTTAATTAACGGCCTTGCCCGATTATGATGTTCTTAACTACTTTAAGAATCAATTTTTTTATATATTTTTCCTGTCTGTAATTCTAGCAATATAAAACTGCCCTTCCAAATTCAAATGTTCTACGTACTACAGCGTGCCTGTTTAAGGGCATTTGTCAATGAGCGAACCGCATATGCCAGCCTCTATATGCAGCGAAACGATGAGAAAACAGTAGGGAAATATCTAATTCGACAAGCGAATTCATAATTGATTTTAAACTTTTAATTTCTTGCCAGTGGGTATGAAAACATTCGCTCTCACATATAATAACTTATCAGACAAGACATTAGGCTGCAACTTTTTAGCAGAGATTCATTTGGCACTGGTATTCTTGCCGTAGCGCTTATAAAACAGTTTGAAATTTTTAACGTAAAACATTTTTCCGGGTAGTAAAATTTTTCCCCCCACATCTTTTGGAATGCATTAAAGCATCTATTGAATCCATGAATAAAGCGGTTTTTTTTTTCCAAAAGAATGTACAGTGGTGTTACGCCTTGAGCAAAGTAAAGGTAACTGAAACTTACTTTTAATTTTATCTTTTAATTGTGATATTCTTATGTTAGCCAATCATTATTTTGTTCATCGGAGTTCTTTGATAGTCGCATCGTTTTGAAATGTACAATAGTATATGTGTGCAATAAACAGTTGATCAAAGAGAAATAATGATATATATGTAGCGCAGATCCTATTTGTTCCAAAAATTTTCCATTTATTCTATTTCCATTTTCGTCAGATTAAATTCATACTTTCAGGAA